AGAGAGAGAGAGAGAGAGAGAGAGAGAGAGAGAGAGAGAGAGAGAGAGAGAGAGAGGGAGAGAGGATAACAACTGGCGAACACAAGGGGAATGCGACTGTTCAGTTGAGACAAGCCAGTGCGATGGTTCCACGGATGTCGATGCTATGCGATTTCTGCCCATTGATCTGAGAGTCAACGTGAAGAGATTCAATCAAGCTCGGGTGAACGAAGGTTGCGCGCGTGCGCACGTGCGAGCGCGAGAGAGCAAAATGAGAGAGGGAAAAAGAACGGGACGAATAGCACTTGAACGAACCTAGCCTCCAAAGAGCGCCAGGTTCATTCGTAACTAAGCTCATGTGAGCGCGTGGGCGGGAAGAGATGTTGTGAGTAGCAGACTGGGGGTCACGCTGGCGAAGGGAGGGCTAGCGGGTGCAAATGGGCGATTGAGAGGGAGAGTGCTAGATTTGGAAAAGCCGCTCGCGAGGAGTGAGAAGCTACGCAAAGCAAGAGTTGAACCGCGCGACGAGAGCGGGAGCTGCGTAAGCGGGGGAAAAGCCGCGCGCGGAAGTGGACCACGTCCTGCATCACTGAAGCCATGCCGAACATGGACGACGGTGACTCCCCTCCCTGACCTTTTCCTGTTGCAGTCCGCCTTGTCTTTGCTGGACTATCGGTGGGTTCTGTCCCCCCGCCTTCGGAAACTGCCTTGCTCGCCGATCCTCTCGAACCCGTCCCCCTCAATTCCTCTGATGCCATTGCCTTCTTTCGGTACCACTCCATTGCGTCCCACAACGGCTTCTCAAACGTCAGGGGTATCCCCACTGGCTTCCTCTCCTCCATGCTGATGTCGTAGTGCCCCTGTTTGTTGAAGCCGTTGCAGGCATCACGAATCTCTCTAACCTTCTTTTGAAACTCTGCCAACTTCTTCCGACAATCCTCCCGTGTCCTAGGCGCACTGCTGTCCACTCATACCTTCTTGTCCTTGTCATGTGCTGCTGAGTGTCGTCCGCATCAGCCATGAGGGTGTCATCCTCACCGCCGATCTTTGCCAAGGCTATTCGCTCTTCCAAAGTCCACAGATTGTTCTTCTTCGGCTGGGTTGAAGACTTTACCCGTTTCTCCGGCTGCCACATGCAGGGCTTGTGGTGTTCCTACCATGTTGACCTCCACCCGGGTTCGTCGACGCATCAGTTGCCGGTCCTTCATCACCATCGCCGTTGTACTTCTCCCCATCCACTCCTGCCGCCAACCCTCCACCCGCACCGTCCGAACTTTCGCCCGCCATGCCCGGCGAACACTCACTGGCCATATCCCTCATGCCATTGCCACTCCGCGTCGGTCTACCTTCCCCCATCCTTGTTGAAGGGTCGAATTCCCATATCACGGAAGCCACCCCTGTCCCCTGGTCGTCACCCACCGTTGACCTTTGGGGTCCTTGCTGACGTGTCGGTGATTGCCGGGCACTAATTACGGTCGGACATGCGACAACCGGCACCTTGAAGTGTCGTACACACCCAGATCCCCCTGCTGCGACATGTTACGGCCACGAAGCACGATCAGACACGACTGTCTGCCCCCCTGCGATTGCGCCCGATGAGCAGGTATTGCACCGGTGGTATTGCACTCATTCGCTGCGTGGGCGCTACGTGTTCGCACTCTGCGGCACCACCCCAAACACCAACATTGTCCACTGATGCGCCCCCCCCACCACTGGTAGGATTGGATCGCCCTTTCACTGTTGTTTGTTGTCCCCGGTGTAGCCTGCAATGCCCTGCATGTACCTTTCTCGGCCCATGAAACCTCCTCGCCCGCCAACGCATGACGAAGCCTGCGCGTCCATGCCCACGAAAGTCGTGCTATGCATCTTATCTTCTGCCTGCTCAGAATGGCGACTCATGGAATCATGGGCTGCCATGACAGTCCACGTCATCAGCGAACGTCCTGACCCGTGTGTGCTCTCATGGCGCTGAACATCTCCGGCCCAAACCTCGTCTGCTACGTACATTGATGCACCCATATTGCCGTATAGTTCGGATGTGAAAACTTCGTCCCTCCATCAACCTACCGACGTGCGAGGAGAACAGCGATCAGAATGGCAGTGAAGCAGATAACGACGTTGGCACAGAAAGCAATCAGCAGCGCTAGAATGATGGTCGTCCCCTACTTGACCGCTGTTGTTGCCGCCATGGAAAACTATCAATGTCGGGGTTGGTGGTGACAACCAGACTCA